TTTTGTAAAAATCAATGACTTTCTATTAATATAAACTCTGCTATTATAGAGTTCACTTGCATTCCTGTGAACACACAAAAAGTTTTAAATATTTATCTTAAATTCTGTTATGTTTTAAACAAAAAAATTATTTATCGATTAAATCACGAGTTCTTCAGTTAAGATAAGATATATTCTGTAAAAATTGGTCAAAATATAATGTTTTGCTCGAAATTCTAGCGTCGAATCGAAAGGGAATACATTCTCAACGAGTCTAATTTAATTTTTAAAAATAAACTCAATATTTAGAGTATACAATGTATTGGCAAACGAACAAAATAAACAATTACTCACTAAATATTAGCACATATTATATTAAAGTTAACTCAAACTCTAATGAAAATAGTTTTTTCGCAAAATTTCACAGAATTATTGTAAACACGAGTCAACAGAAATTCACGAGAAATTTTAATATAAAGTCATGAGTTAGAAATCGATGACTAGATATGTAAATAAATATATCAATTTAATGAAAACAAAATAATGAGACAATTTTTGTTAAAATTAAAAAACATTAAATTACGGAAAAATATTTGCAATTTAAAAAATATACAATATTTATACAATTATATTAAATTAAATTGTAATTCATTACTGTTTTGATCGATAAAAAAGGCTTAAAGTGTGGTCGAAGTGACCGGATTGATGCCGTGGACTAATAGAGTGGGGGGAAGATTCATCGTCAACACATCCAGTCGTTCCAAATACAAGAGATAGTCGAGAGGAATGGCGGGCGGAGGCGGCAAATACATGAACACCACAGACGTGTTGTGACTGTGCTCTTGGATCATGACATTAACGCTCTGCAAGTAATGTGTGGTCAAAACGAATCGTTGCGGACTTTCATTCACCGATAGATTGGTTTCGTTCATGAAATCCGATTCAGAAGAGCGCGAGTCAGGGCTTTGTGTGTCAACAGACACGTCAGTCAACGACTGATCCAATGGTGAGGTCACGTGATCCCAGATGACCACATGAATGGAGGCGTCGATTCGCAACATCTGCAGAATCTGTTCCCATTGTCTCCTAAGAAGCGACACGTCTTTGATTTTGGTGTCGACGCACATGAAGACCCGGACTCGGGTCGAGTGCTTCCAACCGGGAACCATATGCAGGACACACGCCAATTGCATGAGAAACAGCCAACAGTTGTCGATATTTGTGATCGATATCTGGGGGCAAAAGAAGTTTATGGGCCAGACATCGATGTACGACGAGTTGGACGCCAGCATTAAATCCTAATACAGTATGAGATAATCGCTGTTCAAACAAATTCTCTTAATTCTTGAGTTATTCACTAAACCTTATTAAAGAGATGGAAGTGTCGAGCGATGCACACATTCTTCTGGAGTCTAAACACAGAGTCATAAATCATTGATACGTATTCTTCGCGAGTAAATAGACGTTTGTTATTGTCTTCACGTAGTGATAGGAATTGGTTTCCACGCAATAGAATATCTCTTAAATTACTGTAAACGAGATTATTCTCAAAGAAGTCGTTTGGGATTTGGTCGTCAAAGAAACCAAATAATACAGTGTTTGGCTTCATTGCACCTAAACCTGCAATTCGGGACAACTGATGCAAACCCTCCCTGACAGTGGTCGCAAGGGTCACCTCCACGAAAGCCTTCACTTTGAGTTTATCGAGAAGTTTGAGCCAAAGAGGGTATTCCTCGAGAACAGGATCCGTATCAAAGTCATCGATAGCGCCAACTTTCACGTGACCCAAGATATAGAGTCCGCTCTTTTTCAGGTCGTTTACGAATGTTATTAACGGAATACAAGACCTCGGATTCGACACCATTAGGAGGAACTGTGGCCTCCAGTACTTGACGTGATCTTTACGACTGTCCAGAAGTAGCAGATATTTTCGGACCTGAAAGCAATTAATAGGTTTATATGAACACAATAACAGCATTTGGAATGCTATGCAATACCTGATGGAAAATCAATGCCTGACTTATAGACCCCCAGCGAACAGGAGGTGAGCGTATGTGAAGAGCGATCACCAGAAGTAAACACATGATTATAGTAATCGCGGCGTAAAGTGAGTTAATTATAAACATCATTACAATACAGCCCAACATTCCTATCGATGATGTCTTGGCCGAGAAGTATTTAAAAGAGGGCCGAAAGTTGGGCGCAGACGTCAGTGTCAGCGAAAGACAGGCCAAGTTTATGGCAAAATAGGACAACAAGAAGAATACTGATGTGATTTGTGCGATGAGATTGAGTTTATTGATCAGAATAATGCACTGAACCGTAAACCACGTGACGATCACAGCGGCAATTGGATTACCGGAACGGGAGAAACGATTGATTGGTTGCAAAAGTTTACCAAAAAGATTGTCTTTAGAGACGGCTTCGAGGACTCGAGAGGCGCCAATCAGATTGCTTAGAGAGGCCGACAGTGTGGCCGCGAATATACCGATCGCCACAAATGGGGGCCAGAAGTTGATGTATTGCATAAACAGGTAATTGTTTTGCAAAAGGGTTCTACAGTTTGAACATTAGTTTTAAGCACAATAGTCGTATAGAAACTCAAGTATACAAACCCCGGACAGGTAGAGCCCGTTAGGAATACCAGAATAATATATGTAACGAAAGTAAAAGAGACGGCACCTAAAGTTCCCCGCGGTATGGATCTACCAGCGTCTACATATGGATTCAAATATTTTAGTTTACGTTATCAATTAAAACTATGATTAGATCAGACCTTTGAGTTCACCGGACATGTTAGCGCCGGCCATAATACCGGTGACGCCACTGAACAGTACTCCAAATATAATTGGGAAAGTAGTCAAATCATTGGTTGTATAATCGACACCAAAATTGGCTAAAATGATTAGAATGAATGTCTTCATTACCACAGATATGTAATTATAAATTCATGAGACATACGATTCAAGTTATCTTTGAATGTCTTCCACGCAAAACTCGTGTAATTCAGATGAGTGTCATTAAAATGGTCTCTGAAATAACTGTTCTCTTGCGGGACAAGGAGTTCGAGTGGACTCTGGAAAAGTAGGCTTATTATCACTGATAGAGTGCTGATCATTACGATCACAAATATAATGACAGTTGTCTTTGCAAATAGTGAGGCGCCCACCAAACAGATCATTGTATTGCTTATGTTCAACACTGAACCGTATAGTATTGAATACCAGTGACTGTCCGGTAAAATGTTTGCTATTCCACCTGAAGGGGTGTTTCATATACCGGTATACGGTATAAAGTTATACAGAATATTAATAAAAATAATAATAAGGGTATCATTTAAACTTCAAAACTATCTATTATTACCGGACGGCCCGAAGTTATTGATAATTCCTTCGACACAACCCGTGATATATAAAGCACTCGAGAATATGTTTGCGATGAAGAAAAGGGTTCCAATACTTCCGCCAAATTCTGGTCCTAACGCTCTGCTTATCATAACTTCACAACAAAATATCAAAATTGTATTACATTTAGGTTGAAAACTATCAAAACTAACTGTCCAGTACTCACAATAAGCACCACCGCCTTCAATAGCACCGTTAGTACTAATGGCACAAATTGATAGCACAGTGAACACTAATATAGTGTATGCCAACAATAACTCCAATAAAGTGGTCAAAACACCAGAATTTCCCACAATGAAGCCTACAATGGATTATATGTTTAGTTAGAAATCATTAGCAAATAGTTGTCATCAATACAAACCAATTCGTAAGAAAAGTATTGCACTAAACATTGAAAGACAAACGGGTGTAAAGACACCGGAAAAAGTGGTCAAATGCTTGAGCTCTACGTGTCTGACAGGACTGCAACCGTTGCGGTCAGGACTGGATGTGCCGCTCATGTTTCGAAACAACCTAATGGACATACATTTAGTGTCAATCATACGGTCATCGGGAGTGACATATGTGTGACAGACAGACCTGACATGTCTTAGAATGGGAGTCCTCTCAGAACTGGTCAGTTGGGGATCACCTGAACTGAGAGACACTGTCGATGAGGAAGGGCTGAGTGTATCGCCCACTGGACTGACTAATGGTTTGTCGAAAACAAGACATTTGTCACTATTATAGTCATTGTCTATAAGATTATCATTAGATTTAAGTTTAAACCCACAAAATGAAGACATGATTTCATGTAATCTATTGTTTGGTGACAACTGATGACGACTTCTACCAAAGGAAACGCCTTTCAGTGATATATCGTATCAATTCATTGCAAACGTATGCCTATTATTGTTATAACAATCAGTTTTCATATCAATATTGACTCAAATTGTTATCAAATCTATTGGTATATGATATCAAAAAATACATTCAAATTATGGTTTCGTTTTCACCGATACTTACAATTCAATTCAATTGAACGCTATTTTAATGATTGATTTGTTTGTCAAACTAATTATCATATAATCTATGATTTGATGAAATGATTGTCAGCGAAGATGTGTTTGAAAATATATACAAACCATACAAATGTCTTAATTGTAACCAACAGTCTGCAGTATTAATAAATAAAAACTCATTTGTGTTGACATATTGTGCGCATGTCTTACAGGCATTGCATAACACTTTAGTCATTCATGTTTACATTGGACCGAAACACACCGAATGACCACTAATACTGCTGTGACTGTCGCACCATTACATATGCTCTCATTATCACCGCATCACAAGTCAATGTAAAGTCTACTGGTCTCGAGTCCAGTCACTGCCACCAAACCACTGGTCACTCAAGTGTTGTGCGACAGGAGTATAGGTATGACATAACATGACATAACATGACATAACATGACATAACATGACATAACATGACGTCTATTCGCAACACTTGTAATCTATTGTTATATTTCATATTAAATGCTCGGTTATTAATACAATGATATACAGTATAATATACTAATAAGTGATTTATTATCTTACAAAACAATAGGTAAAACAAAGCTTACAATTAGCGCATAGTTTCTACTATTTGTAATGAATATTATTGAAAATACTATCACCGTATAATATGGCCATGTTACTGTTATAATATAACCACTGGTCATATGACTGACCATAATTACCATATAATTGATAAATGATTTATTATTTATGTACATTCACCTAACACTACTTTTATTGGAGTATGATACTTTTATTGTAATGATAACTGTTGTTGATGGTTGTCTAACTACAATATACATTTATACAGTTACTGTATTACAGTACCGTATATAGCATAATGTGGTCAATGGACACCGGTAATCTTAATTGACAGTATTGCCATTGGTTGGGTGTACAGGTGATAGGTATGTGGTGAGTGGTCACAAGCAGTGTCTCATTGAGATTCACTGGATCTATGCCACAGTTGACAATATGAGTG